AATTCTTTAGGATTATATTTCAGATATATTGTAGCTGAGCTGCAAACGTTTTAATCAAACCACTGTATGTCAGAGTCTCAGACAGCAGCAGCTCTCTACAACAAAATACAGACGTGGCTTTATAAAAGCTCAGCAAGAAGAGAGTCAAGTCATTTCTTATAGCATCAGGAAATATCTACACATTCCGCCAAGAAAAAATGAGAGAAATGTCAGTTTGCTGTGATGTGTTAAGCTTATGTTTGCTCCCAAGAATTCTTCAAGCTGCCATTTTGGCCCTAATTTACTTAAAGTTTTTGCACATAATTGATACGTACAATTGCCATTCTGTTTATTACTAAGCAAATAGCTTGTTGCTTTAATAATTGTATCTTTTATAAGTGAAAAGGTTGAAACATTCCCACAGCAGTGGAGTGACAGACACAGATACAGGAGGGACTTTTGACAGTGAATCATTTCTGTAAAACATGCTGCCTGCTCYGGCGCTGAAAGTGTTTAACATTATCAGGAGGTGTGATGCATCTGTTCACYGCAGCTGCTTGCGTCTGTATTTTGCAATGACGCAAATGCACTTAAGTCCTAACTTAGAAACAAAGAAAAATAATAGTTTGAACTCAAYGTAGTCGATTTTTCATGTTTAGTTTTCTTATCCCAAACAACCTGCAGGAGAGGGCTCTTTAATGATCTGTTTGAGGGTTTAATAAAGAGATATTAGGATGAAAGTGGTGTGAATTTCTACCACCTTATCAGCCCTGCTGTGCACGCTCTGTATCACTCACTCACACCAGTGCTTTTGCTTCAATTAAAACAAAACAAAACAAAAAAACCCACTTTATTTACATTTTCTTCAAGAGCATTTTATATTAGGTTCAATTTTCAATTTTATTTGCAGCCCGTCAATTCCTAGAGGAAAATAATGCAATGTTTTTGACCCTTAMGCTGCATTTTGCACCTGTTTGCTTATAAGAACCAATGGGTCCATAAAGGAAGGGAGGAAACGTGCCAAACCAGCCTGCCGCTACAGAATGTGTCCATCTAGGGTTGAGCTGGAGCTTTCCAGGAAGTGGCGATACGATGGGGTGAACCTCGGTGTCAGAGGAGAGGACCTCTCTGGTCTCAGGGCACAGCAGGGGGCTGAGTGGGGTGGGGGGGTGCACTGGTGCTGGCCAGGAACATTACAGGGCAGAATGTTCCCTTGTAAATCACTTCTGCTGAGTGCACACAATCACTCAAATAACATTTATTTTATGGCCTGTAGATAAAAACAAGGAGCTTGGTTGCTTTAGGGGCTTGTGTCACCTAACAAAACCATGGCGACCTTTTTAATTTATAGATGTCAAGCAGGTAGAACAAAAATAATAATAATAAAGTAAATAACCAGTCCTTACCTTGATCAGAAGAGGGAATTTGCATTTTCTCTCCCTGAACTTTTTATCCTGTTTGTGTTTCGAGGCATTCCTGTTCAAACATGAAACCAAAGTTGAACACAACAAAAACAAATCTGTAGTGAAGTGAAACACTTTCTTAAAACAGCACAAAAAGAAGAAATGGTTTATTTTTCGTTTGCTGGGTTTGAAAAGACGATCATGATAAAACCAGGAGACAGACCCAGCTGGAAGAGAATAAACTATACTGACACCTTCTGGGCCTATGAGGGTTTTATATTCAAAACATAAATACAGCAGTTCAGTTTTTACAGAACTCACAGACCACTCATCTTCTGGTTTTAGTCTAAATCATTACCAGATAAATAAATAAATAAAAGATGCACTTTAGAGCAAAAGTACACGCTTCAGAAAGTACATCTATAACAGTTGTTGCCTAAAATTTGCACCGTGTGAATCTTTAGAGGTGATATGTTCAGAAATCATCACTAACCTTTTCTGTGAGAACCTGCCCGGTGTGCTCATGGTGCCGGTCAACAAGCTGAGCAGAGTCCCTCACATGTCCAATATTTTAGGCACTGAGCCGGAGACAACAGACGGATGAGAGCTGCCGGCTCATCCAAACACAATGCCTTCCCACAAACAAACACATTTCATTCCTAACCCCAAACGTTTCAGCCAGGTGCTGAGGTGCGTCTGTTGGCGCGCGCAGGTGACAAAGCGCCAGACAAAGGGAGAGCTGGACACTGAGCTGCGTTTCCTGCCCTGTTACTGTTCTCTGAACGCCTCCTGCAGCAGAGACACTGAGAGGACACGCCGCGTTCAGCTAAACCTATTAGTTTTACTGCCAACAATTTATAATAACTACACCTCATTAATAATAGTAAACCTTTAAAACATTATTTAAACTTATACTTAATAATCTATAAATTAACAATTAATGCTTTACCCTTAAAAGCTAATTACTTCCAAAACCAACATACTCATTGTTTATTTATGCTTAATAACTTATGAATTAACTGTTATATATACTGTGTGTATATATGCTCATATAAATACACTTTCACACCATGTG